TTTATGACAGTTTAATATTTTTATTACAAATTCATTACGAGAATGTATTCCTATAAAATATTTGTATACAATGTATGGTATTTGAAGTCTTGTGTCTATGAATAGTGGAATTAAATTATTCTCTGTATACTGTATATTATGTAATATATTCTTTAATGAAGTAATGCTGTAATTAAAAAAACATTTATCACTAAATTCTTGTCACAAATGTTAGTGTTTGGCGACTGATTAGCGACTAATCTCTTTAAAATTGTTTGTATTTCTTGCGAAACAGATTTGAATGAGAATTTTTGCCAATAATTCATAGCAATTTGCGACAAACAAATAAATACGGGATTTAGTTATAAATAAATTCAATTAAAGAGTGTGTGTCTCCACATGTGGTGCACACAAATAATTGCAAATTCTTGCAGACTATTAACCGCTAGAAAACATTGATTTTTAGGCACATAATTATAACTAAATGTAAACATTATTAAGATTTATTGTTTGTTAACTGAATTCACGCAGAGTTTGCCTAAAAATTCCGATACAAACAAAAATGCAAAATTTTAAACTCTCAAAGGGTTTACGTAAACGTAAATACTTTTGCACAAAAAGCACACAAATTATAGGCTTGAATACCAAGAATAGCATTCATATAAAGATGAATATCTTACTGAAATTAATGGTGATTTGATTACAGGCGGAGATGTTGTCCGTCTGTTTCACGCGGAACAGGAAAAGTTCCTAACAATGGATGACTACAAGAAAAAGCAATACGTTTTCCTGCGAACGACGAGCCGCGCGACCGCCACTTCCGCCACTTCCTCGAAGGCCTTGTGGGAGATAGAGGTCGTCCAACACGACCCGTGCAGAGGCGGCGCCGGCCATTGGACTTCGCTCTACCGGTTCAGGCATTTGGCCACCGGTCAGTATTTGGCCGCTGAGGTCGACGAAGAAACCACATCGGATCTCATGCGCAATAAGCTGAGGGGTGGACCCGACCAGCGAGTGTTTCAATTGGTATCAGTGCCTCACAGTTACGACATCGCCAGTATCTTCGAGTTGGATCCGACCACTCAAAGCCGTGGCGACGATTTGGTTCCGCAAAACTCATACGTCCGGATGAAACACGTGGTGACCAATACATGGGTTCACAGCACTAACATTCCCATCGATAAGGAGCACGAGAGGCCCGTCATGTCGAAAGTGGGCTGCGCTCTCATCAAAGAGGATAAGGAGGCCTTCGCAGTGGTTCCCGTCTCACCCGTCGAAGTACGCGATCTGGACTTCGCGAACGACGCCTGCAAAGTGTTGACCAAAATCTCGACACAACTCGAGACGAAACTCATTACACCCAATGAACGCAAATTTGTCACTCAATTACTCATCGAAATCATATACTTTATCGCCGATCTGGAGAACGATCCGAAACGTGTGGACCCTTTCGAGTTAGTGCCCAATCATACGAATCGCGAGCGACAGAAGCTGTTGAGGGAACAGAATATTCTGAAGCACTTATTTAAGATACTTCAGGCGCCGTTCACCGCTTCCGGCGATGAGGCGCCGATGCTTCGCATGGAAGAGCTCAGTGACACCCGTTATGCGCCCTTCAAACACATCTGCCGTCTCTGTTATCGAGTGCTGCGACTCTCGCAACACGATTATCGCAAAAATCAAGAATATATCGCCAATTGGTTCGGTTTTATGCAGAAACAGATCGGTTACGACGTGTTGGCCGAAGACACGATCACCGCTCTATTGCACAGCAATCGGAAACTATTGGAACAACACATCACTGCCAATGAGATCGAGACGTTTGTCTCACTGGTCCGCAAGAACCGGGAATCAAGATTTTTGGACTATTTATCCGATTTGTGTATTTCAAAGAAAGTTGCGATTCCTATAACACAGGAATTGATTTGTAAAACAGTTTTGTCGCCAAAAAACAACGATATTCTCATCGAAACGCGTTTACTTCGCAAAGAACTAGAGGTGGAGTTCAAGAAAGAGAACCCTCTGTCCGGAGAGGTCGAGTCATTTATAAGTATAGAAGTAGAGGAGGATATTATCCTCTTGTGGGACAACGGAAGGCAATCGATGTCTATTAAGGAATTAGCAGATAATGCCGCTAAAGGGTTAACCGGAGATCAAAACATATTGGATTACTATAAACATCAATTGGATTTGTTTAGTGGCATGTGTTTAGACAGACAATACTTAGCCATTAATAACCTGTCATCGCATTTGAGTATCGATCTGATCCATAAGTGTATGGCCGACGAGTCGCTGCCATTCGACTTAAGGGCGGCCTTCTGTCGACTACTGCTTCATATGCACGTCGATCGCGACCCTCAGGAACAGATAACACCCGTTAAATACGCCCGACTCTGGTCTGAGATACCGCGCGACCTATCGATCCAAGACTACGACACAAACAAACAGCAGGACATGTCCGCCAAAGAGGCGGTGAAGAAGAAGTTTGATTCGATCATAACGTTTGTCGAGGACTACCTCTGCAATGTCGTGAGCCATGTCTGGTCTTTCGCCGATAGGGAACAAAACAAGTTGACGTTTGAAGTCGTGAAACTCGCGCGCGAACTCATTTACTTCGGCTTTTATAACTTCAGCGATTTGTTACGTTTGACCAAAACGTTGCTCAATATACTCGACTGCACCACAGAATCGGCGCTCAAGAGAATCACTTCCGAAAGCATCGGACATCTGAAGGATAACTCTGTCATGAAATCGATTGGAGATATAAGTAATGTTATGACGAGTTTTGTGTTGAATAAGAACGATATGAATAGTTTGAAAAGCAATCAAAGCGTGAAGAGTGACATTTCGATGGCCAATAAACTGACCTCAACTCCGATAATTGGTTCCGAAATGGACACGAATGTGATGGACACTAAACTCAAGATCATTGAGATTTTGCAATTTATTCTCAATGTTAGACTCGATTACAGAATAACCGGTTTATTGACTATATTTAAGAAAGAAATTGAAGAAAGCCATGAAAACGACGAACAGAACAACAAATTCAATGTATTGGACGATACGGTGAACATCGGAGAGAAGGGCATCGATTTGGGACACATCGGACAACAGGCGGAACTCATCTTTGGCAGCGAGTCTAGCGATGACATCGATCTGGACGGCAACGGCGGCTGCACTTTCCTGAGAGTGCTTTTGCACTTAACAATGCATGAATACCCGCCACTCGTCAGCGGCTCTCTTCACCTATTGTTTCGACACTTCTCTCAGCGCCAGGAAGTGCTCCAATCCTTCAAACAGGTGCAGCTTCTGGTCTCCAATAGTGATGTCGAGAATTACAAGCAGATTAAGTCCGATTTGGATCAGTTCAGACTTCTGGTTGAAAAGTCCGAACTCTGGGTCTATAAGACCAAAGCGATGGACGACGAGAGCGGAAGTGTCGGCAAAACCAAATCAATCAAAGGCTCGGACGGCGACGCAGACGGTGACGATCACGAGACCAATAAAGCGGTTCCCAATCACTTGTTTCGAAGCAACTCTTCGTCGCCGATCAACTTGGAGTCGGGCTCTCAAGCGCTCGAAGTCTCGCATTCAAAGAATTACAAAATAATACGCGAAATTTTACTCCGTTTGACGAAACTCTGCGTTCAGGAGAGTTCGGGCCCTAAGAGTGAGATTAAGTCGCGGAAACACGAACAGAGGTTATTGAGGAATATGGGCGCACATGTCGTTGTCCTCGAATTACTTCGCATTCCTTACGATAAGAAAGACTCAAAGATGAAGGAAGTGATGGCTTTGGCCCACGAATTCCTTCAGCACTTCTGCCTCAGCAATAATCCCAACCAAACACTACTCGAAAAGCATTTGGAACTCTTCATGACTCCGAGTGTAAGTACTTTTTGACTGTTATTTTCATAATTAGTGGTATTTGTGACTTGAATTGTAAAATGTATTTATCTCTTATATAAAGGAATTGGAGGCCCGGACTATGTGTGCAATATTTCGCGATAACTTTTCTCTATGCAATGAAATCAACGAAAGAGTTATCCAACACTTTGTTCAATGCATTGTCACTCACGGACGACACGTCCAGTATCTCAAGTTTCTGCAGACTATAGTGAAAGCTGAGGGACAAGTGGTGAGAAAGTGTCAGAATATGGTTATGCAAGAGTTGGTGAACGCCGGCGAAGATGTGTTAGTCTTCTATAACGATAAGACGAGTTTCAATCAATTGATAAAAATGATGCGAAGCGAGAGACACCGTATGGACGAGGCGTCGGCTCTTCAATATCACATCAATTTAGTGAAACTCTTGGGCTGTTGTACTGAAGGCAAGAACGCGTTCACAGAAGTGAAGTGCCATTCGCTGCTGTCATTGGACGACATAATCCTTGTGGTGGAACACGAAGACTGTATCGCCGAAGTGAAAGAGGCGTACATTAATTTTCTCACCCATTGTTTCATTGATACCGAAATGGAGATGAAAGAGATCTACGCCTCGAACCACATCTGGACTCTATTGGAGAACTTCTTGGTAGACATGGCCACTGTCTGTACGGCCACTCACGATAGAAATCACGCCGACTTTGCGCTCGAGAGTTACGTCACGAATTCGGTGATGAATTTAGTGACCACTTTCTTCAACTCGCCGTTTAGTGACCAGAGCTCTAGCGTTCAGGTATTGTACGGTATTTGCTATATAATTGCCCAAACATTCAATGGCTTTAATAATAGACTAACAAAAA